TCTAGTGCTCCGTCCTTTGTGGGATGGGACACCGGACGCGCCGTGTGCGCTGTGTCGGCAATGACGGGGCCTTCTTGAAGGAGAGCGACTGCCCCATCCGCCACCGGCCCAAGACCAGCGAGGCATGCGACATGGGGCCCTGCGTCCGCACCTGGTTCTACAGCGAGTGGAGCAACGCGGTACCTCTCCCTTGCACTCTGTATATCCATTATAGTTGGAGGAGACTCCAAAGGACATCCAGTCCACGCCCATTCTGCTGTGTGGGAAGGCACCATCAAAACTGTCCTGACAGATGGCCATCCAGCCTCTGAATCACATACTCCTAGTGCTGGAAGAGACCCCAAGGGTCATCCAGTCCAGCCTGATTCTGCAATATAGGAAGACACTATCAAAGCGCTCTTGACAGATGGCCATCCAGCCTCTACTGTTGAGTTAGACCTCAAAGGTCATTCAATCCAACCACATTCTGTTATATAGGAAGACACCATCAAAACCCTCTTGAGAAATGGCCACCCAGTCTCTGAGTGATAGACTCCTAGTGTTGGGAGAAACCCCAATGGTCATCCAGTCCAGCCTGATTCTGCAATATAGGAAGACACAATCAAAGCCCTCTTGACAGATGGCCACCCAGCCTCTAGAGTTGGGTGAGACCTCAAAGGTCATCCAATCCAACGCCATTCTGCTATATAGGAAGACGCAATCAAAACCCTCTTGAGAGACGGCCATCCAGCCTCTGAGACATAAACTCCTAGTATTGGGAGAGACCCCAAAGGTCATCCAATCCAACCCTGTTTTGGGATATGGGAAGACACCATCAAAGCTCTCTTGACAGATGGCCATCCAGCCTCTAAAGTTGGGTGAGACCTCAAAGGTCATCCAATCCAACCCCATTCTGCTATGTAGGAAGACACAATCAAAACCCTTTTGAGAGATGGCCACTTGGCCTCTGAAACATAGACTCCTATTGTTGGAAGAGACCCCAAAGGTCATCCAATCCAACCCTGTTTTGGGATATAGGAAGACACCATCAAAGCCCTCTCAAGAGATGGCCACCCAGCCTCTGAATCATATGTTCCTAGTGTTGGGAGAAACCCCAAAGGGTCATTCAGTCCAATCCCCATTCTGCTATATAGGAAGACACAAACAAAGCCCTCTCGAGAGATGGCCACCCGGCCTCTGAATAATATACCTCTAATGTTGGAAGAGACCCCAAAGATCATCCAGTCCAATCCCCATTCTGTTATATAGGAAAACACCATCAAAGCCCTCTCGACAGATGGCCATCCTCCAAGCCTCTCCCGAGAAGGAGATTCCAGACTCCCAGGCAATATATTCCACTTTCCCAGCCCCGATATGGAAGCCTAATCCTTCCCCTCCCCGTTTCCCATGCCATGTCTCCTTCCGTCCGTCCAGTGTTCGGCCGAATGTGGGACCGGCATCCAGCGGCGCTCGGTGGTCTGCCTGTCCAGCGACGCCAGTGGAGAGTCCCAGGAGAACTGTGCCGGCACCAAGCCGGCCGACATGCGTGCCTGCAACGGGGGGCCCTGCCGGAGGGTGAACCTTTGGTACACGGGACCCTGGAGCCCGGTGAGTAGGCGCGACCGCGGATCGGAATAGCCTAGCTTGGCATTGGCCTTTGTCACTGCTGCGTCACGCCGTTGGCTCGTTGTTTCCTTCCTCCAAGCATTGTTTCCCACTCTTCTCAGTGCTCTTCGGACTGCGGCACCGGCACGCAACGGCGCGACGTGGTGTGCCTCAGCAAACTGGGGGCGGATTACAACGTGACGGAGGCTTCGGAGTGTGCCCACCTGGAGAAGCCGGCTTCCCTCCAGCCGTGCCACGGCACCGAGTGCGAAGCCCGGTGGTACAACACCGCCTGGAGCGCCGTAAGTGGGAAGCCGGAGACGTTTGGGAGGGCTTCCAGAAAGAAAGCTAGAGCTGGAAGGGACCCCAAGGGGTATCCAGTCCAACCCCGTCTGCCACAGTCAAAGCCCTCCCGACAGATGGCCATGCAGCCTCTGTTTAATGTCAATAATAATAATAGAACAATAGAATCCTAGAGATGGAAGGGACTCCAAGGGACATCCAGTCCAACCCCTTCTGCAAGGCAGGAGCACACAATCCAAGCCCTCCTGACAGATGGCCATTCAGCCTCTGCTAAATAATAATAATAATAATAATAATAATAATAATGACAATAATAACAATAATAATAATAGAACAGTAGAATCCTAGAGTTGAAAGGGACTCCAAGGGACATCTAGTCTAATCCCCTTCTGCGAGGCAGGAGCACACAAACCAAGCAATAATAATAATAATAATAATAATAATAATAATAATAATAATAATAGAACAATAGAATCCTAGAGTTGGAAGGGACTCCAAGGGACATTTAGTCCAACCCCTTCTGCGAGGCAGGAGCACACAAACCAAGCCTTCCCGACAGATGGCCATACACCATGCCTAAATAATAATAATAATAATAATAATAACAATAATAATAATAATAATAGAACAATAGAATCCTAGAGTTGGAAGGGACTCCAAGGGACATCTAGTCCAACCCATTCTGCGAGGCAGGAGTACACAAACCAAGCCTTCCCTACAGATGGCCATACACCACTGCTAAATAATAATAATAATAATAATAATAATAATAATAATAGAACAATAGAAACCTAGAGTTGAAAGGGAGCCTCTTCTGCCAGACAGGAGCACACAATCAAATTCCTCCCAACAGATGGCCATACAACCTCTGCTAAATAATAATATTATAATAATAACAATAACAACAATAATAATAATAGAACAATAGAATCCTAGAGTTGAAAGAGACCCCGAGGGACATCCATCCCAACTCCCTTCTGCCAACCAGGAGCACACAATCAAAGCCTTCCCAACAGATGGCCATTCAACCAAAACAATAGAATATAATAAAACAACAATAAAACAATAGAATAATAATAATAATAATAATAGGAGGAGGAGGAGGATGAAATCCTAGAGTTGGAAGGGACCCCAAGGGCCATCCAGTCCAGCCCCCTTCTGCCAGGAGGAGGATGAAATCCTAGAGTTGGAAGGGACCCCAAGGGCCATCCAGTCCAGCCCCCTTCTGCCAGGCAGGAAGACACAATCCAAGCCCTCCTGACAGATGGCCATGCAACTTCTGTTTAATAATAATAATAATAATAATAGAACAATAAAACCCTAGGGTTGGAAAGAACCCCAAAGGCCATCTAGTCCAACCCCCTTCTGCCAGACAAGAAGATACAATCCAAGCCCTCCCGACAGATGGCCATGCACCTTCTGTTTAATAATAATAATGATAATAATAATAATAATAATAATAGAATGATGAAACCCTAGAGTTGGAAGGGACCCCCAGGGACATCCAGTCCAACCCCCTTCTGCCAGGCAGGAGGTCACAATCCAAGCCCTCCCGACAGATGGCCTTCCAACGCCTGCCTTTTCGATCCCCTGTCTGTCTCCCAGTGCTCCCAGTCCTGCATGGGCGGCGTCCAGGTGAGGGAAGTCCAGTGCCTGACCCCAAACCGGACCCTGAGCCGCCTCTGCCCGCCGGACCTCAAGCCGGCCACCAAGCGACCCTGCAACGCCCAGCCCTGCCTCCCCGAGATTGGTAAGAATCCCTGCCTGGAGCCCATTTGCCACTCGCGGCCGCAGGAGCCCTAACGCTGGAGCAGGTGGGACCGGGAGGTAGGCCTCTTTTCTCAACCCACAACACACCTTTCGCCTGCGCTTCCCCAGTCACGTGAACGTGGTCCCCTTTGTGCCTCGGGGTGGGACGTCTTTTGTGCAAACAGGGGGCTGCGAGGCCCAGAATCCCCCAACCCGCTTGTTGTTTGCTCTGAATGGATTCGGAATTTATTTATGTGTGTTTTGTATAAGTTTTCATGTGATGTCAGTTTTTGACATAAGTGTTGAATACAGTAAACATTGCAAAGATGAAAAGGAAGGAAGAAAGACAGAAAAAGAAAGAAAAAAGGAAGGAAGGAGAAAGAAAAAAAAGGAAATGAAAGGAGAAAGAAGAAGAAAGGAAGAAGAAGAAAGAAAGAAAGGAGAAAGAAAGAAAAAGAAGGGAAAAGAAAGAAAGTAAAGAGAGACAGAAAGCAGGAGAAAAAAATAAGAAAAGGAAGAAAAGAAAGAAAAGTAGAAAGAGACAAAAAGCTGGAGAAAGAAAAAGAAGAAAAGGAAGGAAAGATAGAGAGGAAGAAAAGAAAGAAAAGTAGAGACAGAAAGCAGAAAGAAAGAGGAGGAAAAAGAAAAGGAAGGAAGAAGGAAAGAAAGAAAGAAAGAAAGAAAGAAAAGAAGGAAAGAGGAGAAAGGGAGAAAAAGAACAAGAAAGATGAAGAAAGAAAGGGAATGAAAGACAGAAAGAAAGAAATAAGGAAAGAAAGAAAGGAGGAAGGAAGAAAGGAAAGAAAAGAAGGAGGAAAAAGAAAAGAGGAAGAAAGAAGAAAGAAAGAAAGAAAGAAAGCAGAAAGAAAGGCAGGAGGAAAAAGAAAAGGAAGGAAGGAAAGAAAGAAAGAAAGAAAGAAAGAAAGAAAGGAGAAAGAAAGACAGGATGAAAAAACAAAGGAAGGAAGGAAAGAAAAGAAGAGAAAGAAAGAAAGGAAAAGAAAGGAAGAAGAAAGAAAGAAAGAAAGAAGGAGAGAAGGAAAGAAAGAAGGAAAAAAGAAGGAAAGAAGAAGAAAAGAAGAAGAAGAAAGAAGAAGGAGAAGAAGAAAGAAAGAGGAGGAAAAAGAGAAGGAAAGAGAAAGGAGAAGAAGAAAGGAGGAAAAGGAGGAAGAAAAAGAAAGAAAGAAGAAGGAAAAAGAAAAGGAGGAGAGAAGAAAGAAAGAGAGAGGAAAAGGAGAAGGAAGGAAGAAAGGAAAGGAAGGAAGGAAGGAAGGAAGGAAGGAAGAAGGAAGGAAGGAAGGAGAAAGAAAGACAGTAAAGAAGGATATGTGGAAGTCAAACTGTCCTTCCAAGCTGCTCTTTCATTTGGAGCCGTGTTCCCCGAACTCTGGCTTTCCAGTTGTTTGGGACTACAACTCCCAGAACCCCTGATCATTAACCAAGGCAGTGGAGATTTCTGGGAGTTGGAAGTCCCAATCTCGTCACAGGTTAGGTAGTTCCCTTTTGGGGCATAATGTTGTGGCCGCAAAGGTACATTGCAAGCTCTGCCGTCACCTTCCTCTTCCTCCCCGTTTCCTCCCCAGACGAGAACTGCAAGGACATCATCCAAAACTGCCCGGTGATCATGCAAGCCCGGCTGTGCGTCTATCCCTACTACAAGGTGATCTGTTGCGCTTCCTGCGCACACGCTTTGGAGCGGCACCAGGTGCAACCCAACCGGTAGCTTCGAAACCCGAACCCGCCGATTCATGATCCCGAACCGACGTTGCGGACCGTTCCCACGTGTCACAACTCGACAAAGGGGTTTGGGCTCCGGAACGGGATCCCCTTCATCGGAGGGGAGGAAACAACCCCGTAAAGCATGGACTTTCCATCGGGGAGCATCACCTCCGCATGAAGGAACTCACAACCCCAACAGTCCTTTCCCAGAGAGGGCGATGCGCATGCAGAGTGATCGCGTGGACGATCGGGACCCGAAAAGGGTTCTGCTTTGCGACACTTCGTTGCCATGTTCTGCAACCCCATTAGAGTCAATTGTGCCGTTTTTGGGGACTATGTGACACTACGCATCGCGGAGGTCCATGCCATCTCCGTATATTTTGAATTCGAGACGCCAGGACCTTGAATGCACTGTGTTCCAAAGTAATGGCGTATATGTATGTGTATATATGCATATGTATGAACCAGGATCCCTTTTTGGTGTGTTTACAAATGGGTGTTAAAAGCAACAGAGGAGCGCGGCCCAGTAAAATAAGTTGGCAACCAAGGAATAGGCTATCTCTACACATATAGGAAGTATATTTTTGTATGACGACTGTATTTTCTCCCGGAAGTCACAGGTAATTTGTAATGATTTCTTCATCAGGGTTGCCAACTTTTTTCTCCACCTCGGCTCCTGTGCTCTTAACAATCTGCCCCGAACAGTTATGAGTTATGAATTTCTGACTTTAAATGCACAGGATAAGAAAAACAAAGCTTGGGAAAGGTATCTTGATTTTTCAAAGCCATCAGGGTTGCCAACTTTTTTCTCGCCATGGCTCCTGTGCTCATAACAATCTGAAATATGCCGTGAACTTATGGAATTTCTGATATAAAATGCAAAGGAATAATAGGAAAAAA